TGTATTTACAGTGGGTACGGAAATGTGTTTTTCTGTCAATATGGGGTGCTGTGTGTACATTAATGAGGAAAAAAAATTAACTTAAATGATTTTAGCAAATGGCTGCAATATAACAAAGAGTGAAAAATTGAAGGGGGTCTGAATACTTTCCGTACCCACTGTATACTGTACTAATTTTGTAAAAATTGTGAAAAAATAGCAGCTCCCATTCAATGCGTGAACAGGATATGCAAAGCCTCCACAGACAGTATCTATCAAGCATTCATGATTCTTTGCCGTGATCACAATCTGATGATATATTCCTGTCTCTTTGGGATTGGGATAGAACTGTGATATAGTCTAGCTGCATATACGGCTTGAGGTGACTCCTGTGAGGAAGAAATTGAATTCCACACTCCTACCGTTCCTCTGCCCCCCTGCACTGATCATAAAAAGTGAGATAAAGTAACCAGATTTGCAGCACTGCAGTCTTGTGTTTTTCCCTGTAGAAGATTGCAGGCTTCGGATGAGGCTGAGTCTGCGGCGCCTGTTACTGTGGGTCTTCAGGGCATTTGTGCTTTTGCATCATACTCTCAATGACTCTGTGAGGGTCTCGGGTTTGTGGTAATTAACGCCAGCTGCTCGTTGTTTTCAGTTATGGTGAACATAATTAGAGTTTTATATACGATCTGTAGTCATCTCTGTTGAACACTGTATGCGTAATACTTGGAAACAAGAAATTTGCAGGAAGCCACACACACACACACACACACACACACACACACACAGACACACAGACACCACGCACGCGCGCACGCACACACCGAACTCCAGAGCAAAGATGAAGGGAGGGGGTCAGTGAGAGATCAAAAATAAAGGAAAGAGTAAGAAATTCAGACATTATTTATTCACATTTATTATTATTATTTTGATTATATTGTTATTTTATTTATTTATGGATTCATTCTTTTTTTTTTTTTTTTTTAATTGGTCAACATTTGAAGTTTCAATGAAATAAAAATGTGAGTGTCTATGTTATACTGGATAAATATTTTAGTGTGCCAAAATAATGATATTTTTTAATATATAATTTATTTTATATGTAATACATAACAGTACGTTCCCTTAAAGTTAATTGCTAATACACACTAATTTAATACCAATTTAAAAGCAATCTCAAAACGAATATACATTTTGCATGCTGTATTATAATGCTGCAATGTATAAAACTTGTAGCAATTTAAAGTTATTAGTGTTATTTTTTAAAATTGATTTATTTAGATAAAATAGAATATTTTTTGTCACGAAAGATTCAATTATTATTAGTATTGTTGTTGTGCTTTAAGAATTTTTTAGGTAGTTCTTGGTCAGTATTTGAGGTTTCAATAAAATAAAAATGTGCGTATATTTTACTGGATAAATATTTACTGTACCAAAATAATTGTAGTAATTAAAATCATTGAGCAACACCACTGTATGTTGGCGCGCTGCAGACAAGGCTGTCGTCTTTATTTTTAATATCCATGCATCCTTATTTAAATTTCTTCATCATTCTTTCATTTCTCAGTCCCGTTCCCTCCCTGTCCTGGATTTCCCCGCATTCTTTCACTTCCTTTAACAGATGAGAGTGTGTCCTCATTAGGCCTGAACTCTGCAGCTGGAACTGTATTTCAGGAGAGGCAGCAGAGATCCTGAGCTCTGGCACTATGAAACCTGATGAAACCTTCCCTTCGCCTGCAGGAATCTATGTAGATGAGCTTTGTATAAATACAGAACAAGGCGAGGTAAATTATACACTTCTGATACCTGCAGCATGGTAATGGCCTCAGCAGAGGTTGATTGAGCCCGCAAGGCTCTTGGTACAGTGCAGTGGCACCAAGGGATCTTTTAATAAGCCACTCATAGGTTCTGGAGTCTCACAGTGCTGCTACAGCACTTGCCTCACAAAAGGACCATTCGTCTCCCACATCAAATGAGCTGGGAGAGATCGCGCTTGTCCATTTGCAATATTGGAGGTTATTTATAGTTTGTAAAAGGGCCCCCTTTGTGGGCCGACAGCCTCACTCAAGGGCTGCAGTCATAAGGAAAACATAGGATTTTTATTTGCCTATAATGAGCAAGAAAATGGTATAGGGTTTCTATGCATGCATGTATGTATGTATGTATTTATGTATTTATTTATTTATTTGGGCCATGTTAATTGGGCTTATTTGGGAGAAATTGGTTTGAATTTTTATTTTATTTTATTATGACATTGGGGCATGGTGCGTTTGGTGCTGTGCTCATTTGGGAGAAAATGGTTTGAATTTTTATTTTATTTTATTATGACATTGGGGCATGGTGCATTTGGTGCTGTGGCCATTTGAGAGAAAGTGGTTTGAATGTATTTTTATTTTATTTTATTTAAGTACATTGGGGAATTGTGTGTTTGGTGCTGTGCTAATTTGGGGGAAAATGGTTAGAATTTTTTAATAATATATATACAGGTGCATCTCAATAAATTAGAATGTTGTGGAAAAGTTCATTTATTTCAGTAATTCAACTCAAATTGTGAAACTCGTGTA